TTATATCATGTTATTACATAGAAACTCCATGAAACTCCGCTTCTTGTCAATGTATTTGAGTGGGATGAGCACTTGCTAGGTTGACGAGTAGCGAGCTTAGGCTAAAGGAGCGAAGTGTGTACGCCCCGGCACTCTGTGAATGTCACCATTGGTGACTGTGACTAGTTGATTCTCAAAAACAGCACCTATCAGGCAAAAGCAAACTGGACATGGGGAATCTTGTTCGTCATTGCTGAGTGTGACCATTTTTTTGTTTTTTGAGAACCTGTTTCTGGCATCAACGTGGTTGACGCGTCAACGACCGACGGGTTGCGGTTTTTCACAGCGAGAGACCGGCTCGGTCGCAAAGCATTTTGGATTGGCCGGAGAGCCGGGTTCTCTTGCCGGTCCAGCGTGAATCCAACAAGTGCAGCGTTTCCCCTTCAGTGGAGTGAGCAGGAAATCGGAGTGAGGGAGCTTGAGTATACTTGACCTCTGAGTATACTTGTTGGGCTCCGGGTGTCCGGCGTCCGGAAGACAGCTTCCGCGACCGGTTGTCACGCCCAAAACGCCACCCGTGCCTCGTTGGGAGGTCGATGAAGGGCTCTCGTGTCTGGGCGATGAAGGGCGAGCAGGGTGCCGTTTTTGTGGATGAACCGGTGAAGAGCTGTGACCAGCTCAAAAAGAAAACGACAGAAGAACTGGACCGGTGAGTCAGGACTTCGTCCTCCACACTCGAAGTCTTCTTGAGAGGAGACCGTTTGTGGTCGTTGGGGTGTCGTGAATATAGGCCACATCGGCCCATGGGGAGCAAAGGCGACGTGGATGCCGTCGGCGAGGTCGTCTCCTTGTCGTCCTGCGAACGGTGGGAGGAAACGACCGTGAAGATGTTTGAGTTCTCAGCGTCGAAAGCTTGTCAGGTGTCCAAAGAAACAGGAACCCAAAACACCACGAACACCCAAACAACCCTGTCCAATGAATATCCCCGGCTCACTGAGGTTGGACGAGTGGTACTTGTGCCCCGAGCCGGCCTTTAGCACCTTGACCAAGCAGGATGCGCCCAGTATCCAAGACACAGCGCCTTGGTGAGTGGGGTGGTTCCGTGGTGGGGTCCGGAAGGGCGGCTGGCCCCAGAACGGCCGCCAGGGAAGAAAGTGCCAAAGATGATGAAACTTCAGTCAAACACTGACCTGTAGGGAAAGCGGATGATAGCTTCTTTCCTGATTGGAAGCTTTCGGAGTGGACGGGGTGCGTGAAACACGCCGAGTTACGCGCGAGTGACGCCGAGCGCACGAAACGGGCGTTGGGAAAGTACGTTGTGATCTTTTTCGGCTGAGCTCATCGGACGAGTTGATAGCCTGGATCTTCCAACTGCCTATAGTACTGCCAATAGTATCAACTATAGACTATAGATGACTATAGTACTAGTATTTATATTAAGGTTGAACTTTCAGCCTTTTCATCCCAAAAATCATCCACCCAGTTCGGCAGACAGAAATGGCTTGGCGTTGGAAGATCGGATGGGACGAGTGGTCTGGGCCGGCGAGTTGGTCGGTTGACCCGATGATCTGATTCTGGCGGCTGGGATGTCACGAAAAATTCAGCGCACCTCCCGGAGAGCTTTCCAACTGGACGCTTAAGGAGAGGAGTGGCTTTCATGCAATTGAAGAGCTAAAACTCAACTATCACTCTGCCGACTCTGCATCAGTGTAGGCAGCCTTCACATCCACGCAGTGATTATCAAATTCTCAAAAAAAATGAATTCAAGTTTAACTGTTTCTGAGGAATCGCTTGGAGTCACCAACCCTAAACCCTTCCCCCTTTCTGTAGAAAAAGTGGCTTGACCTTCGCTCCGAACTTTCTGCGCCACAGTCTCAGGGTCCAATTCTGGTCTCTTTTCGTTTTATGTTCATCCCACATGGCAAGGACAAAACCCATGGCCGTGCCACGTCTGGAAGAGTTACGATAGTTTCGGCGACTCGAAGAAACGCCGACGAGGACGCTTGCGGCGCGGGGCTCGGCCCAGGTCATGTGTGGCCTCTTGATCCGCCGGGCATCCAGATACTACGCCGGAGCCCTGAAAGAATCGCCCAATCACGTGAATGTATGGGACTGGCAGTGAATGGCATCTTTCCCAACACTGACCCCTTTTCAAGCATTTTCAACCACCCCCCCGGCCGTTTCTCGGGAGGGACTGGCAGTCCACCAGCTACGAGTTGGTGAACATAGATGAACTTGGAAAGAACTATGCTTTTTGTGGGAGAGTGGTGGGCCGCCGGGCCGGAGGAGACACAGAAGCTCTCTCTACTGGTCAGGTCCCGGGTGGTTTGGGTCGGTTTTCAGGGACCTTAGCGGGTCAGACTGGACACGTCGAGTGTTCTTTTCTTCCTTTTGTACATCCATATACATCCATGATTCTGTCGGAGCTACAGACTGCTCGAAGAGCCCTGAAACCTCGATGACGCCAGTTCACGGCGGCCAAGGCCGATTTCACACTGCACCCAGTACCCCACCCACCCAGACGCTGCGTTCACAGCCCGACAGGTCCCTGAAAACCCAGGGAGTTTGAGACCCCAGACCCCTCCATATGAGGGTCTGATCCATCCATATCAGGGTCCAGGGTCGCGTTTGGGCAGATCAGTTACTCCACGCGAGGGGCTTGGCTTTCGTCGCTTTGGTCGTGATCTTCAGGTGGTGAACATCATGTTGATGTTGGGCCTCATCTCGTCCATCGCCTTTGCCATCTACACGGTGCGCGTGAACACGCGCGCTCCACGTGGCAACAGCGGCTCCGTTCGGAGAGGATGGCGGATCCGTTCGTCGCAAAGGGTGTCACCACCACGTTTGTGAACCCACCCTTATCCCAAGGCCTGGACATGAGCAGAACCACGAAGGAGATGGACATAGCCTGGGCTTTAAAATCGGGCTCTAACGACCAGCCGTGGGGAAGATGGCTGCGGTTTTTGGGATGCTTTGGCACCTTGTCACATTGGCAAATTACGTTTGGCGTGAGAACTGATTTACTACCTCTTTCCATGACATCTATCTGAGCATTGGATTTGGAAGATTCCGGGGCTTCCCTACTCTCAAGAGCGATTTCTAGCAATGAGGCACGTCCATGTCAAACTTGTGCCTATCCGAATTCCAGTCACCCGATTCCGGCTGCTTCGTTTGGGAATAATGACCTGTTTCTCTTTGATATTCTCTATTCTATTCTATTCTATTCTATGGATTCTATCATATTCTACTGTATTAAATCTATTCTATTCTAATTCTATTCTATTCTATATTCCATTCCATTCTATACTATTCTATTCATTGAGACTTTAGTTCAAGCAGCTGTTGGACAACGAACCTATGACCATTTGAGAACCTGAACACTTTGCGAACCAGTTCACAGCAAACTCCTTTAGAAATTTTAGAAGAGCGGAAGTGAGTAATGGAACTCACCTGTTCAAACAAGCCTTGGCAACCGCCGAATGAAGACCTCCAGCACCACATGACATCGCAAAAACTATGGGACCGCTTGTAGGGTGACGTGGGCATTCCTGTATTTTCCAGGGAAGCTGAGAGGTCGGGTCAGGTTCTATAATGCGCACCATTGGGCACCCATGCATGTTCCTTCTGCAGTTTCCACAGCTCCCGTTTTTCTTTCACATTGCCAGGTGCATGTGAGCCTCTTCTGGGAACGAGCAGAGGTGTGGTGTGTGCGTGTGTGTTGTTTTTCTTTGGTTTCCATCGTGTGAGTTGGAGGACACCTGGGTGGTTCACGCTAGAGGGAGTCAAAAGCCACAAGGAAAAACATATGTGTTGCTTTTGTTGCTGCGTCAACTATCTCAATGAACAAGTCTGAGACATGCGTATTTTGGGCAACTGCTCCGTTCAATCTCTGCCTGCACTTCTACACGCGCGTGTAGGACGGGCGTGTAGGGGTCTGTCAGAGGTCTTCTTGGGGATCTTCCCCCTGATCGTCATCTTCAAGATGTCCGCACAAGCCAAGCTGTCTGGGAGCCAATAAGGGAGGGCTTGGGTTTGGAGAGCCAAATGGAATAGATCATTTGATCAACATCTCAGTGTCATGGGGCTGTGAATAGGAGGCAGGAGGGGACAAGAACCCAGGCATTGAAATAGACGTCGATTCATTGCGATGGACATTGAAGACCCACCGGTACAAAGCGTCCCGTCATTGGAAGACAACATTCACATGTATTGGATCTTGCTTGAGAAGGCGGTGCCCCAATGGCTATAGCAAAACTTTAAAAGCTGATCCGATGGATGGCCACTCACTGAGTGAAGCTTTTCACACCCTCACAAGATTTCAGTGGCCTCCCTGTGAGCTCCATCGAGCATCCAAGTCAAGATGCAAACGTCTGAGTCAACTGGATGAACTGAGAGTGACAAACTCACTCAACAGTCAGCAGCCCCGTTTGAGGTTTGCACAGCTGGTCGGTTCACGTTTCATGACAGATGAAGTTTCCTGACCTACAGCGCACCATGAGCCCAGGGCCGCTCTCCCAGCGGTTCTCGCTCTCCCGTTGCTTTGAAGAGCGGTTCAGCCCGGAGCATGGCTTCAGCTTGATTTCATGAAGTGGTCATGGCTAATTCAATAGGGTAACACATCCCCAAATAGATCAGTTCCTTTTGCCGGAGTTGATCATGCAAGAACACTGCGAATCATGAGGTAACCTATAGACGACGGGACCGACAGGTCAGATCTCGATCGACGATTTGGGATCAAAAAGTGCTCCACCCAGTATTAAACACCTCAGTCAGTGACCTGAATTGACAACAATCTGAATTGAAAGCCTTTATCAACCAACCAGAACCCAGGATTTTCCTGAAGGGTTTGATCACCAGCCTATGGCAAGGGAAGCCTCTCAATGAGAAATTGATGTGGAAGATTAGGACGACAACGCTCGCAAGAGATCAAGCCAAGCCAAAATGTAAGAGAGCAATTTAAGGATGATGTTGGTCGTCCCATCGTCCAGGTGAACTACTCCATGCATTTGTAAGTCGAAACATGTGCAACATGATCAGCATCCATGACCTGCAGCGTCTGGCATGGTAAATCTATGCCACCAACTTCCGATGCGCTTTGACATTCTTCTCCCTGCAGCCTTGGTCTTTCTGCAACTCCTTTGGTCCGTGGTCTTTCCACACTTGCCGTGGCCAACACCCGGTGCCACTCCCGCTCCACCCGTTTCACCCGCTCCACCTGGAGCGCCCGAGACGGTGGAGGTGACGGTGGAGGCGAGTGGCCACGGCAGTGGCCTTGGGTGGGCGCCGCGGAACACCGTGCGATGGCTCGAGGAGGTGGAGGTCACTGATGTTCCGCGCGGCGCGCACGGTGCGGGGGAGGCAGTGGAGGAGGAGCCTGTGGAGGTGCCGCTGTTTCCCTTGAGCGGGTTCTACGCGTTGGGGAACCGGCCGAAGTTGAAGATCTTTGAACCGCGCTATCGGCAGCTCTACAAGGAGCCGCAAGATGGATACACTTGCCTTTGGTAAGCGACCTATTTTGGTGGTTGTTGAGATGAACTGGGTGGACTGACTGAGGAAGAATTTCAATGCCAGGGTGAAACTGTACCAAACAGATCCGAACAGATTTTCTGTTTTCTTTTAACGATGCGACCTGTAGGGGAGGCTACACATACACCATCACATCGGAAGCTTCTCAGGAGGGAGAAACAGGGAGTTGTTTTTCGATTCATAGGAGTCACGGAGCAGTCGCAGTCTGCCTGTCGACGTTCAATGTGATTCAATGTGTAGTGTTTTTGAGTACATAAAGCCTTGGGCTTGTGAAGAACAGCATATGATCGGTTATCCTTTTATTCAGAGCTGCTCTATGCTACACTCGTCGCTTTTGTCATTTGAGTGCGTACTGGCCAGGGCTTAAGCACGAGCTAGGGCTGATTGGTAGAACATGCCTTTATGAGTTTTCAATGTGGCTAACTGACTATGCAGAATCTGCCAGTTATGGGTTCCAGCAGTTCAGGTACATGTTGGTGAACACATTTTTTGTACCAGGAACATCAAGCAACAACTGAATGCTCATAAGCAGCGCCTTGAAGTATGTCCTCCTTCATAGCTCAAGTTGGTGTTTGTTTTGCTTGCTGGGCCACGCAACGATTATTTACCCCCGAACATTCAACAGATGTGCATGCATCCAACTCCGTGCCAATCACTAATTTTTCCTCCGCTCATCCCGCTACTGCAGCTAGAGCCGCCTGAACACCCTCTTGCAGCATTCCCACTCCCAGTGCGAGCATTCCCACTCCCAGTGCGACTCCTACTACCAGTAGCACTACCTTTCAGTAGCACTACCTTCTGCCGGGGAGAACGAATGGACGCATGGATACAATTTGATCCTCGACGATCCATACCAGGCCCCCGCGAGCCCACACCCGGAGTGAACATGCCTTCCTTTTGCAGCGTTTTCGATCCCTTTTCACATCACTTGACCGCTGTATTCTGCCTCAGTGAAGCAAAGGAAGTGTGCTTTCACCCTAAATATATATATATAATATCACTGGCCTCCAATGTAGAAGTTTAACTTCGACATGGATAAGGTAGATGTTTTACCAGGTGAAACATCGACGTAACTTAAACATTATGATTGGATCCATGGAGAGAATGGTTTCACAAGAATTTCCAGACATGAGCATAGAATCATATTCATCCATATGAATCCCTGAGGTATCCTGAGGTCTATACTCATGAACTGGGGGTGAAGTTTTAGGACCTTCTAGAAGATTCCTATGAGATCCGGGTGGAACTCCTTCGCGTTTTATGTGATCCGCATGAAATCGCGTGAAGTTCTTCCCCCCCAAAAAGGATCCACTCAGGTAACCATCATTTTTGTCCAAGACACTCTGAAGGCTTCCACTGTGATTCACCTGCCTTTCAATGTGGAAGCTTTGCTTCAATGCCTGATATGAGAACCCAAAAGATCCGTTCTTCCTGCCACATGTTGAAAAGTAAAACATCAACGTAAGCTCTGCTTCAAAGTAATACATCGACATTTCCCCATGTTGAAGTAAAACTTCGACGTTGGAAGGGCAGGGATATAACTTATATAACCTTTAAGTGTTACTATAGTAAAACATAATAGCAAGAATATCGGCACACATAGTAATCATCATCATCATCATCATCATCATCATCATCATCATCATCATCATCTTTCCCGCCAGGATCTTCTTTCCTCGAAGATGCATCACTTCGCCGTGACCACCGTTGACCCGGAGACTGGACACCTCGCCGCCGTAGGCGTCTTGCTGCGCCTGGAGGCGCTGCAGGACGTGGAGGCCGAGACGGAGGGCGCTGTGAAGTACCTGGCGGAGCACACGGTGCTGAGACGGATCGAGATTCAACGCTTGGTGAACCCCGAGGCGGACTTCAGACCCATTTGGGTGTGTGTGTGTGTGTTGTTTTTTCCATTTTTTTGGCCAGGTTTCAAGTGGCGTTGGAGAGGAAAAGCCATGGTTGATTTGGGGACCCATATATTGATGCGAAATCCGCGTCGGTGCCATCATTTGGGCATTTAGAGTCGAAACAGGAACGCCGATGTCGATGTTCACTTTGTTGAGCTTGGTCAAAATTGGCCATATTCATCTTGGGTCGAGTTCAATCAGTGAAATGCCTGGAAACTGCCTGAGGTGAATGCCACCTGAGTTGAACAGAAGAATTAAAGACGAGGAAAACAGTAAGTCCAGGACCTTCAAAGTTCTGACCCCCATGTAATTCCATCATTGGAAGAGTGATGTTTTTGGTAATCCTGCTCTTGGGAGTTTCTTTTACACAGACTCAGATACCAGACTCCTCAAGCAAGTGGTTCAAGCCGTGACACCTTGAGCATCTCACAGGCTTTGTCCGACAGCAGCACCTATTTGAGAGCTGCTGTCGTGCACTTGGAGGATGTTGCGGTCGAGGAGCTCCAGGATGTCAGCCTATCTGAGCTGGAAGCTGATACTCTGGAGACCTTTAAGGATGTGATCTCTGCCTATCCTGAGCTCAAAGAACTTCAGGTGCTCCTTCAGCTGGACCAAAAGTGCAGGGCCTCTAGGTGCTAAGAGTGATCTCAGTTGCCTCGTTTGGATGAGCAAGGCTCTTAAAGTTAGTTCGCTGCGACCCTCAAATTCCGCTCTGCCACGAACGATCCACTCATCTGTGAAGATTGTAACCTGAAAAGGCCATCACCCGCGAAAACCATGTCCTCTACAAAGCGCTACAGCTCAAATTGCAGGTCCATTCTCATATCGGGCATGTATACTGTATACATATAACCCGAATGCATCTGACACCAATCGACACCAACGCAAAACGCGCCGGTGGAGGGTGGAAACCCTCCGGTTGTCCAGGTGAATGCTTCGCAAAGAGGTCTATGGGAACTGTCGAACTCATGGATCAATGGCTACTGGGGTGCCGCTCGCATGAACGATCTGCGGCAGCAGCTGGTCTCACAGATGCGGAGTATACATGAGGGAAGCCTCAGGGAGGGTGAAGTGAACCAGGAGGTTCAGGAGTTGCAAGAGACTTGGCGAAGACGTGTTTTCCGGGTGCTGATGGGAGCAGGGGAGTTGGCTGAAGTAGTGGGATTGGTTCGGATTGGTGCCCTTGCACCCGGGCTCTATGTTTTGATCGGATCAAGTGGTCAGCGCAATAGAGCCTGGCAGCAGCAGTCAACAAATGTCATTGGAAGCGTTTTGTGTGCAGGATTTAGAGAGAGACAGAGAGAGTGCTGTTTGCTTGTCACTTGTCGTGGGTTGTGTGCTGTCAGCAGTGAGTGTGAGTGTGAGATACCACCCACTCCATCCTACTGCGCATGCATTGATTCATGCACATTGGTGAACTAACAGGAGCTAACCACAGGATACCTAGCATACCTACCATACCAGCCTACACTGCAAGGGCTTTGTCAGGTACTGAAGGATTGCTCCTCGAGGTCGTGAACCCAGGGGGAAAGCACGGTCATACACGGTCAGTTTGACAGCCAGTGCTCAAGTGTCAAGCATTTTCAACCCAGAAAGCCCCAAACAACGTCTTCTGGGTGGTGATTTTGGACATGCATGTGTATTTCAACCTTCACTTGAGATCATTGATCCCACTAATATGTTTCAAGCGAGTTGAAACCACCAACCAGTTTTTTTCCCACCTCACCTCACCTCACTTCTCACCTCACTTGTCACCTCACTTGTCACCTCACTTTACTCACTTCACTTCACTCACTTCACTTCTTTTTCTCACCTCACTAGCCTCTTCAGAGCCTCTTCGTCTCAGGAGATCTTCGATTCCGAGCTTTGGCACCTCCGCCGGGAACAGGTGACTGGGAGTGGACGCCACGCTTGTTATCGATGAGTGGAGCCCAAAGAATTAGCGGTTCACATCGGTTCACGAAGTCACTATAAGTTCTTCTTGTGGACCAAATGACATACGCACAAATCTGAGACTTTTATGACGAGAATTGAGAATGGTTAATTTGTATGAACATGGAGGAGATTGGACCTCGCAGAAGCTCAGAAAGCGAAAGACACCAAACTGCAGGACCCTACTCCGGACAGGCTGTTTCAGGACCCTACTTCGGCACCACAGTTGCCACCAAAGACCTTCTCTATAGTGTATTATATGGTGGGTCGTGACCCACCAGCGAGCTTGACCCACATCAGGTCAAAACCCGGTCTCCTGGTGCGACTGGAACCGTGGTCCGATGAGACATCTGTGACCCTTGGTGAACCGCAGGATCTTGGTGGAGGGGCGTCCGAATGGATCTTTCAATCTCTCGGGAAATACTCTCTGCTGTGCCAAACAGATGCTCAGTTTCTTGTTGTGCAAAGAGGATTTTCCTCAATCAAGCGTGGTCGAGCAGTTTCTAATTATTGCGCCCAGGTGGGCTTACCTAAGATGCCAAGAGCTTCTAATTAAGAGCCTTCATGTCATTTTGACAGACTCTATACCCGTCTATACCTAGTAACCTGCAGCTGTTTGCTCCTGAGGTATGCCGAATTTCACGGCCGGTAGAACACCAAGATTTCAGATCCTCACTTATCGTCACTTTTCCATTCCCATTTCTTTTCTAAGTTGTGCACCACTTTGCCGTAACATGCTTCCCTTCCCTTACAGCAGTTCCTCGGTCTGATCCGCTCCCCAGGTGACCTTGGGCCAGCTCCTCCTCCAGAGCCGCTCCCACGCGGAGCGGCTCAAAGCACTCCGCTCTGCCATGCAGCTGGAGCGGATCTTCGCGGGAGGGGAGGATCCGCAGCGCGGATCAGTGGCCTTCGTGGGGTAACGTGACCGAAGACTCGGTCGGTCGGTGCGAACACGAACTCACGTGGTGCGTCTGAGCAGGTGTGGTCTGGCCGGTCGCCTGTGAAAGAGAATGACGATGGTGAGGAGTTCACTGCAGTTCACCTGAGAGAGATGTGGTGAATGCTGCGCGAGGAAGAAAGAAGGGAAGTTGGTGGGTGGAGGAGGTTCGAACGCCAACACCAGGGGGAGTCAGGGGTTCACGAGATGTCTTGAGTCTTGAGTCCGCCAAGTGAGGAGTTCACAGCAGGTTTTCAGGTCACTTTGGCTCGGATTTTTTCCGATTACTTTCCTGCCCATGAGATGCGTGGGCCCATCTTGAGCCAACATTTGTTCCTTGGGTGTGTCCTATTACTTGCAAGAGTCGGTAAACAAGAACAGCACTCTTTAATTTTGGAGAAAGGCCTGGGCCACCCATATACCCAGTATAGTACCCAGTATCCTTGCATCCTCAAAGTGGCATCCAACTTCTGCAATGGGCTACTGGAGCACGGCTCGTCGTGTTGTCCATCTTGGGACATGGCTTTTGACTTCAAAGTCGCAGCTGGTGACCTGTGAAGTCGAATGGGTCCTGGTTCGGCAAAAAAACATCAGACTTGGACCTGCTGGTTGGACGGGAACCGATTGACTCAGATCGGTTTGTAAAGCCACTCAACACAACACAAAGCACAGCCGCCATCCGGGCCCAAAATAGTGTCCGACCGTCGGAGGTTGATGGACGGATCTGCAACGGATCTGGTCCGATTGACCTTTTCTTTCTATAAGGTCCTAAGGTCCCTATAGCCACATGGTTGACATGGTTTAAATAGCATCAAATCCTGGGCAAAACAAAGGGTTGTTCGGTATTCAGACCACTGAATAAGGGCCAGGAATCCCCCATTTCAACAGGTGCAACATTGGGTTCGATTCGGCCACGAGGGCTTGATACTATGATACTGTGCTCAAATTGGTCTCGGACACACGTGTTGTTACGGTCACCACGGTCCGGTGCAACCAGAGTAGCCAGAGGTCTTTTGATCAGAACGGAAAGGGTGCAACCTCATGCCTTCGGTTTTGAATGTTCAGGTGTCTCAAGTGCAAGCGCAGCCTGTCTCTAAGGCCTAGAGTGGGATACTCTACGAAGCGGGGCAGCCCAGGACCAGGACCGTGGACCGTGCTGAGTCGATGACCTGAAAAGAGGGTGGCCGGAGGTTGCCGCTGGTTTCCAACCATCAATGGGACTGAATAGTTAGCATTAGTTAGCTAGATATGGCTCTAGTCTAATCCATGGGGAAAATGTAACGAATCAAATTCCACACATGAATGCTTTGGGTTCTCACATCATCGAATCATCGACTGCTTCGAATCGACTGCGTCGGACTTCCCACTTTCTGGAGTCGACATCGACGCCGAGGTTCGATCGCTTTGCGACCGCTTGTCAGATGCTTTTCTTGGTCATCGTCATGGGCTGCATCTGGGGCCGGAAGAGCGGGACGAGCGGGACAAGCTGGCACGATGAAGATGCCATGAAGAATCCACCTGGTCCTGCAGGGGCGTTCGACAGGGGCCATCCGTGATCTCCAATGAATTTCATTAGCATTCAATGGAATGCAGGAGATGGCCCGCTCTACCTTTCTATAGGATTCTATAATACTATATAGAGGTGGATGTTCTATGATGTTCTGTTTTTTTGTGCGTGTCCCTTTTCCCTTGTTCACAACTTGGACACCTGCTTGGGTGTTAAGATCAAGCTTGACGACAAAGGGAGAAAAGTATATGAATCGAGTCAGGAACGTTTGTGCTCTCAAGGTGGTTGGAAGCTTGCCCGAATATGTTTGGTCTTGATTACCAGGATTAACTTGAGAGTAGCGGGGCCGGGAGGCAACTCCAGCAGGTCTTCGGCAGGTTGATGAAATCGAGACTGGTAAGAAGCATGATGTGGGAGCCTGACATCATAGTATTTTTTCCTGATTGCAGCGTCACTAGAGATAAGTCCCCCTGAATTGGAGCTATACCTAGACCCTCATTATAGACAACCATTTCTGCCCAACTTCACTTGGGCAGAACATTCAGCCTTACGAACGTCTTCAGGGCGAACGCGTTGTCATATAGTTTTTAGGCGGCCAAACCACCCAGGCACTGCCTCACATGCATTCCAACACGTGCAGGAGGCAAAACCAGAATGACAGGTTCTTTTCTGGGGGGGAAAAACCGTGCCACGTGCCCCGTGGGACGTGATGCAATCCCCGCATCCAGCTAGCAGAGGCACTTGTTGACATGGCACTCACCCCCCCCCCGGTTCAGGCCACGATTCCTTTGTCCAGTGGAAGCCACTGATTGTCGTACAAGAACGCCCGGCGCCTTTACCCATGATTGGATAGGCAGAAATGATTGTCCAGGAAGGAGTTCTAGGATGTTCTAGGTATGAACATCTATAGATTTAGAAACACCGTGCCCTGAAGCCAATAATCTCTTTGCTTAGTCACGAGCCATGAGCAATTTCTCCAAAAAAGCTAGACCTCGCCATTTAGACAATCAACATGGTCTCCCAGGCCTCTAAATCCCAGGTATGGCGGCCTCCTTCATCACCAACGTCCCCACCTGGTTCCGTCCCTGCGACGTGGCGGCTGAGACGTTGGTCGGCGGCCCAAGAAGGAAGACGGTCTGGCGAGGCAGCGGAAGTTGGGGTAGGAAGATGCAGGAAGGAGGGAGATGTATTAGATGTATTAAACATAAACCAGTGAGGATTTCTTGAGCTCGAAGCCTTGGCCTACGACAGTGATAACCTTAGCGAGTCGAATCGAATATCTTCCAAGACTATCCCGTCCCACTCTCTTCGTAAAACGATGTAACAAGAGTCTTCCACTCTCTTCGTGTATGACCTCGGACCGGTGACGAGCTCACACGAAGGTATGATCTCGGACGCCGAAGAACACCCGGACCGACGAAGGACACCGGAAAGGGTAGAAGGACACGGTGACCAACAACGGTTCCATGGGTCGACTGGGACTGGGAGTTCCGCCGTGTATGACCTCTCAGTTTCGACCGCGAACTCGCTTCGCATGAACGCGTTTCGCGAACTGCTTCCGAGACGGTGAGGTCTATGAGAAATTGACGCTCTTGGCGGATGTCGAGCACTACTGCTGCATTGCTTTGTACCTTCGACAAGAGGTCGGTCACTGGGAGGGCCGACGGGAAAGCGAAGGTCGTCTTCGTCACGCTTGGGCCATCTTGAGCCCACAATCTTCTAAAGCCTGGAAATGTAGATCACCTGCAAAGCCTAGTTTGGGAGATTGGTTTCCCCAGTAAGTCCAAACAGATGGAAAAAGGTTAACCATGTTAACCAGCATTTTGGCAGGGAGACTGAGGGAGCCGTCTTCAAGTAAGTTTGTGGCTTCTTCGCTACCCCATGCACCGAAGCCTGAACAGCACCTTTTTCGGACACATGTTTGTCAGGACAACCTCCCTGTCCCCCGACGAACCTACGGCCCCACCAGTGGCGACGAGAGACCTCTGGCTGACCAGGCTCTTCTTCTAAAGCCTCCTCAGTTTCGAGCAAGACCACTAAGACTGACTAAGACTGACTAAAACATACAAAAACGCATATTGGTTGGGGGGTCTCAACTCGCCTTTTTGCTCAGTACACCCGGTTCCGAGGATCGGCCTGTGGCTTGCGTGGATCGTGCGGTGCGGGAGCCCGGTTCCACCGGACGATAAACGGACGAGTCGTCGAGCAGTCGTCGATCGTGGCGGTCAGCGGGGCTCGAGCACCGAGGTTCAGCTACCAGGCACGACAAGTACAACTCCTGGATCCCGTGCAGAACTTCCAGAGCCGCGTGCCCCTGAAGCTCCAGGCGGAACACGGCTTTCTGGTGTGGCAGGTCGTGCCACGCAACCGGTTGTGGTGGTATCTCGCGGTGTGTGTGTGTGTGTGTGTGTTGGAGGCATCTAAATTGAGAGACGTTTGCTGTACAAAAGGGTCGACCTTCCCACATATGACATATACCATGCTTTCTGATGTTGCAGGGTTCACGACGGTCACGAGCAGTGTCATCTTCCAAGAAGCCCCCGCTTGAACGTCCAATTATCAGACTCACCTTGGTCCGTTTTTTGTTGTTCACCCTGCCTCACTCACAACCAAGTGGCCGAATCCGTTGAAACACACGCGGACAACTACCCTAAGAATCTGGACCCCCATGGTACAATCCCTGGCGCAAATTTGACTGGACGTCGAAGGATTCTTGGGGCTGATCATTTTGTGGGGTGATGACCTTGATCAACCTTGATGATCCTTGATCAATGGTTCCTTTAGATCATCGATTTTGGGAGCGGTGAAAACATAAAAACACACTCATCGCGCGCCAGAAGCGCACGCCATGCACAAAAAATGACGTATGTTTGACACCTCCAGGGGCCTCGGGTGAAACCGGTTCCAAGACCTTCCCGTTCGAACGCCCTGTAACACCGGGTGGCAAAAACCATGTCAAACCGCCAATTCGGCACGCTGCGGGCTGCGGCGCCCCAGGTTCACGGACCCCCAGTTGGGCCAAACGAGAACTCTGGGCGCTTGCGACCGAAGCAGTGGTACACAAATCCATATACCAGGGCCCCCGGGCCATGGGGTGGTGAATGGATATCCCGAATCACCTCTAAGGAACTATTATTGGACCCCCTGGGCCGGGGGCCCTGGTGTGGTATAATGGCAGAATTGCCAACATATGTTTTATAAGATAGGTACATACGTAGTCCCATGGCCGGTCTAAAAAGGAGTGGTTTTGAGATGTTTTCAGTCCCATTCAGGGGTCATGGCAGCCGTGGCACCTCTTCTTGGAGGCAGCACCCCTCCTGCTCGGGACCCAACTCCATGAAATTCCTTCAATTTCTCGACACTTCTTGACCGATGTTCCCAAGTCAGGTTCTCTACATGGCTGTTGTGTTTTGTTTCACCCTAATGGAAAAAAAAACATTCGGATCTGTGCCAAGTCATATGTCATGATGAGTTCGAACACATTCAGTATACCTCTCCTGGACCTAAAATCCCAGCGCGACTTTGGCGCCAGGGCCACGGCGCACCACCGGGCTCCACCGAAGCCAGTGTGGAGGCCGGGAAAGACCACTTGGGTCTTGTGCGGTCTAACGTGGGAGACCTGTCAGACTTCGAAAGAAAGAAGGATAGAAATGAAGCTGAAGCATGTTTGAGAGCATTCAAAGAGGTATATTTACATGCCTGTGGGGCTCAATTTCTCTTAGAGATCCCATTTTTAGTCCCAATCAAGCAGCAACATGTTTCCCTAAAACCGATGCGCTCGCGATGCGCTCGCGATGCGCTCGCGAGCTTCGTTCGACGGACAGGGCTTGGCGCCCACCTTGTCAGTCTTGGCCCAAGAGGAGAAGAAACGCTCCTCGGCCGGCACGCGACGACCAGTCAGCGAAGAAGCGACGATGCGGAGGGTGGTGCGGGAGGAAGGATGAAGAAGGGATG